GGAACTCACATAAAATGTCGAGCATCTTGTTGACGTAACATGACGAGGTACTTGCGGGAAAAGTGTATTTAAATCATTTTGGGTCTCAAATTTTGGTTCGAACTTGTCATTTTTTAAAATTTCAAATTTGAAAGGTTCAAATTTTGTCAAATGACAAGATGACCAAAATAAAAGTTGTAGATCTTGATGAGTTGAACAACTTTTGTATTCATCACTTTTACATTTGAAATCATTTAGGGTTGTAAAATTTGGTTGGAATTTGTCAAATTTTAAATTTCAAATTTTAAAATGTGTAAAACATTGTCACATCCAAGTTTGATCAAACTTAAATGCTGAATCATGATTTTAGAATTTTTTAGGAAAAAAACCATCATATTTTGAGTTAGTATGAGGAAGAACAACTAGTTACAAAGTTTACTCACAGATTAAAAAGAGAAATCACACTGTTCTAGATGATCCTTACATGATCATAGTAAACATGTGTGATTTCTTTTTTTAATCTGTGGGTCAACTTTGTAACTAGTTTTTCTTCCTCATACAAACTCCAAATCTGATGATTTTTTTCCTAAAATTTTCTAAAATCATTCTCTATCAATTTATTTTGTTGGTTTTGTCAATATATACATATGAAAAGTTTGAGCAATTTAAATTTTGAATTTCAAAAAAATGCAACTTCAGACAAGATTTTGGTACCCCAAATGATTTCAGCTGAAAAAGTGATAAATACCAAAGTTGAATAACTCATCAAGATCTACAATTTTTGTATTGGTCATTTCTTCGTATGACAAAGTGGTAATGACATTATTCACAAATGTGACACATCTCTCATATAGTTTTATAAACTATATGAGACATGTGTAAGATTAGTGAACAATGTGTGCTAAGAATTTATCAAATGAAGAAATAACCAAAATAAAAGTTGTAGATATTCATGAGTTGAACAACTTTGGTACTCATCACTTTTTATGTTGAAATCAATTTGGGTCTTAAATTTTGGTTCGAACTTGTCGTTTTTCAAAATTTCAAATTTGAAAAGGTTCAAATTTTGTCAAATGACAAGATTACTAAAATAAAAGTTGTAGATCTTGATGAGTTGAACAACTTTTGTATTCATCACTTTTTATGTTGAAATCATTTTGGGTCTCAAATTTTGGTTCGAACTTGTCATTTTTAAAATTTCAAATTTGAAAGGTTCAAATTTTGTCAAATGACAAGACGACCAAAATAAAAGTTGTAGATCTTGATGAGTTGAACAACTTTGATGTTTAACAAATTTTCATTTAAGATCATTTGGTGTCTCAAAATTATTTTAATAGTTTTGATTTTATTTTTTTAAAATTTTAATTTTTTCCCATTTTTAAAGGTTCAATTTTGCAATTTTAAACTGTTGTAGTTGTTTTAGTTATTGTATATGTAAATATATCTATAAAAAATAATTATAAAATTTGAATTCACATGATGCCTTATCTATTTACTCGACAATAGAAAAAGTTAATAAAACCATTTCATATGAAAATTCCTAGTGGTTAACACACATTTTTAGAGTGTTTTATTCATTTATGTCAGAATATGTTTGAATATATGAGACTACTAAGCACTAAGAGTATTTTATTCCTAGTGGTTAATACACAATTTCAGAATTAACCTCACCTTTTGCTTGTTGGTCATTACTGTCCAGGGCACTTGTTTTCTCACTTCTTCTCAGTACATTACGTGGAATTATTCGTCTCCCTAGTTGGAAATTCTAGTTAATTATTGATCGTGTACAGAGGACACTTCTCTGGACTTATTGTCCTTCGGAACTAGAATTTCTCGTTAAATATCGGTGTACGTACAGACGACCCTTCCCTGGAAATTTTCTCCACCCCAACTGAAATTTTCGGTTCAGCTCAGATGGATCTGGCCGCGCCCATTGCAGTTCGTACCGGTCAAAAAATTTCACACGAATTCGATCACCCACGCTAGAATCGCGCCAATCCGGCCCAATTTCCGTTTCCCCGCCAGCCCACGCGCGTATACACCCCCAAAACCCTAAAATTGTCCCCAAATTTACCCAATCTCTCCCTCTGTCCCTTCCGGCGGCGGCTCGCACGACGCAGGGGCGCCTCCTCGTGGCTCGCGCTCGTCGGCGGTCGGCCAGCCCTCCAAGCGTGGCTCCTCCTCCGGCTGCAGCTTCTCGCGCTGGCCGTCCTGGACGCGAGCGCGATGGACACCTAGGCGATCCACGGCGTTGTCTGACTCCGACGAGCTCCCGGCCTCCCGCTCGACACCGAGCACGCGGACGCACAGCCCCCGGCCCCCGCACGCGGACGCGCCGCTCCCGGGCTCCAACTCCATCCAATCGTCCACCGTTTTCTGAGGTATTCTGAGGCTCTTCGTCTTCATCATCCTCGCTGTCATGAACGCAAACCTGGCCTGTTGATTTCATCTCTCCAATGCTAACTGATGCCTCTTTGGCAGGTGAATCCAGTCCGTAGGTTACTAGGATCTATCAGCTATCTTGAACACAAGGTAAGTGGCATAACTCGAGTTTTTTTAGAGCATCTTGCTTTGTATCTTGCCGCGGATTTCCAACCAGCAAGCAGTCCGGAGGCTTGCGGCTTCTGAGAACCTGTCACAGGAACATAGCATTATCATCTGTAACTGTATAACAGAACACTAGAACAGAGGCGCGGCAGACACGTGTGTTGTGCTTTGTGGTTTACTTGGGTAGTAGATGCAAAGAATCAATGTAAGAAAATAGTAATCTGAGATTTGTAGCTGACAACAGTACATGCTTTCGTAAGAGAAGTTTCTGTAGATTCTATCCCAAAAAAAAAATGCTACTGCATAGTTGTCTAAGATTGAATTTGAACCAGCAAGTAGTCGTTTGTCGAATGACCAGTCTATGTCTGCTAGGGATGTTGGTGGTTCCCGGACTAGCAAGGTTGAGAAGGAGCGTCGTAAGAAGAATTATGATCCCAATGTATTCTTTAAGGTGAATGGGAAACTTTACCAGAAGCTTGGTAAAATTCGGCTCTGGGGGTAGCAGTGAGGTTCACAAAGTTATATCAGCTGAGTGCATAATATATGCCTTGAAAAAGATCAAGCTTAAAGGCCGTGACTACCCAACTGCCTATGGCTTTTGTCAGGAAATCGAGTACCTAAATAAGTTGAAAGGAAAAGGCAATATCATACAGCTGATTGATTACGAGGTACAAAGTTGCTAGCATTATCTCCAAACACCTTTTTTATATACATATATTTGTTTAGTGTTCTATAGGAAGAGGATTCAGTTGCTTCGTCATCTAAACAATGATAGCATTATCCAAGTAAACCACTGCCCAGGATTTCTTTCTTTGAATTTCCTGCCTCCGGTTGAACATTTTGATGTAAGCCTTTAAAGTTTGTTAGTTTGCTGTAAGACCATTATTAACAAGAATGAATGGAAAGTATCAATAATCTTTATTATCATGCAAGCACCATGCGTGTTTAATACTGGTAATTCTTTTCAGGGTTTATCGCATTAGACACTTGTGCATAATTATGGTGTTGTTTAAAATTCTGAGTTTCTTGTGTTTATTAATTCTCATTCATGCATATCATGAATGGTCACAGTTGTGCAGTACTCCCTCTAATGCTGTTTCTGGGTCTAGTTTCACAGTGCCGGGAGATTTTTTTTTGTTTTTTTTGCCCCATTTTTTTGTGAGGTCTTCTCACATTATTTAAAACTTCTTGTTCAAATTTGGGATGTGTCGGCCTTCGTGCCGGAAATGTGTCGGCACATGATTTGTTGATGTGTTGGCCTTCGTGCCGGAAATGTGGTTGTCGGCCTTCGTGCCGACGTTTTTCTTGCAGGTTTTGGAAACCTCCCCGTGCAGGGGAGGTGCTGCCGAAATTTTCAACTTTTCTTTACACTCCTTACATTTTTATCTTGTCACTCACGTGCAATCTCCTCTCTTTTTTGCAGCATCAATCGGGGGCGGCGTCGAACCATGTCGAAGGGTCGCCGGCATCGCACGTCGGGCCATCCCCGCCTGGACCGTCGCCGGGATCGCACGCTGGGGCGTCCCACCCCTCACAGTTGCCGTGAGCCGCCTTCGGAATTGTTTTTATGTATTGAACTTGTGAATTTGGAATAGTGTGTACTTTTGAACGTGTGGTTTGTAATATATTGTGGATTTCGGACAAATTTGGTCGTTTGTGATATATAAATATGGTTTGTGACATATTGGTGTTGATTTGTGGTTTGTGATATATATATATATATATATATATATATATATATATATATATGCTTTGTTGTTTACATGAAAAAGCAAAAAACAAAAAAAAAAGAATTTTAGAGGTGGCTTCCCCGAGTGCCTGTGCTGTGGCACTCGGGAAAGTGGGATTTAAAAAAAAACAAATTTCTTTGCCGAGTGCCTGAGCTACGGCACTCGGCAAAGAGTATTTAAAAAAAAATTCAAAAATCTTTCTCGAGTGTTGCACTCGGGGAAGAAAATAAAAAAAAACGGTGTCGGCCGTCGATCAACAGTGTCTAAGTCTTCCCCGAGTGCCAGCACGGCACTCGGCAAAGCCTTCCCCAAGTGCACGATTTTCGACACTCGGAAAATGCACTTTTCTCGTGGGAGGATTAGCCGGAGGCTCTTCTCCAAGTGTTGCACTCGGGGAAGGCTTCCCCGAGTGCAACTGGGCCTTCCCCGAGTGCAATTGGCACTCAGGGAAGCCAGCAGTTCCTGTAGTGCTGGTTCGATATTCTTCCAATGGATTGCATTCAGCTCTCAAGAATGCAATGGATTGTATTCATCTCTCAAGAAGAAAAGATTCGCACCCACCAAGGTAAGCTCCCTAGTTTCTTAGAAATTTTCAACCAGCGACTAATATATTAAAATATTTTCTGTATTCCAAATTATAAACCGCTAAGTCTAGAAAAGCCAAAACAGCTTATAAATTGGAACTGCAGAAATACTTCCAGTTACAAGTACAACGTACAAACAATGCAACAGGAGATGGCTTACCTTCAGGAACATGGCATTTGCCGGTGGTACAGACTCAAACATGTCGCCACCTATGTAGTGCACTTGAGTGTCACTGGGAGCCTTGCTGACGACGTGGTCGAGCTCTAGCACGCTGCATTTCACACTCGGGAAGGCCGCTGAGATAGCCTGCGCAACCGCGCCGAGCCCTCCACCGATGTCGACCAGGGAGCTTATCCCTTGGAAGACATGTGCACACTCCTTGATGGCAATGTCCATGATGAAGTGGCTGTCCGAGAGCATCCCATCGTTGATGAGCGCGTCGAAGGCTGCGTCACCGCTGGCGTGCTCCCACAAGGTCTGGCTGTGCGTCTACTGGAAGATGCACGGGCCCAGCAGCTCGCGCTGGACTGGAACCATTTGCCGAGCTCGAAGAAGGGCGTGACGCGAGGTCGAGGAAGGAAGACACGAAGACGGTGCCGAGCACCATGTTCAGAAAGGGACTCACGTTCGACGCCGAGCCGCCCAGGAGTCGAGACGCCAGCGTGAGCTCGTAGACAGGCTCGCTGCCGTCGTCGGCGTCGGTCGTCGTCGAGTGCGGCTGGACGACGACGCCGAAGACGCCGGTCTGAGTGAGCACGCGCATGAGGCGTCACAGACATGGTATCTTGGACGGGTGGAGCGCGACATTGGTGACTATCTGTGGGATGTTGGCCCACTGGATCTCCGGCACGGGTGAGTCGACTACTCACCAGCGTTGCCGACAACAATTATCGTTGTCCGACCACACACTATAAATAGAGGTAGAAAAAGCGAGGGAGAACAGAACACACACAACACAAGCACCAGCATTGGCCGGAGCTATGTAGAGGAGATGGCAAAACTGAACTCGTTCTCTTTACTGAGTTGCAGTGGCAAACTATATATACAACTCTACCCATCTCATCCTAGTACACAGATATGTCAGGCCATCATGCTGCTACAGTGACTAGATGTGACAACAGAGCTGAGTTCGACGCCTGCCCTGCCAGGGATGGACCCACAGGGTATGCAAGGTGGGCCAGGGTATGCAAGGTGGGCCACCGCATACCATGGGGTCCGCCAGTCATACAGATAGGTAGAAATTTTCAATGTAAAAAATAAAATAAAAAAAGGAAACGATCAGCGCTTTGGCTTCCGTCCTGGACTCTCGGTTCCGCGATCTCGCTAGCACCTAGTAGGCGCGGACTCCGCGGACGGAGTAACTGCTAGGCGGCGCTGTGACACATCTCGAATTCTCGATCGAGGATGAGGAGAACTGGAGAAGCCGAGAAGATGACTAGACGGGAGAGTTGGAGACGGCGACGGCTGACGGCGATCCGCGAGATTTCCTGGCCGTGAGTCCATGATGATCTGCTCCTGCCTGGCTCCTTCTCCTTCAGGGCGACGCCGCGACGGGAAAGGAGAAGCCGCGAGCCCGCGACGATCCAGCGAGGTGGCGACGGCGATCTGCTCGGCTCCTCAGGGCAACGCGCGAGGTCCAAAACTCCAGCAAGTTCATCAGCACCAGTCGGTAAGTTCCAAAGTCCAAACATGAGTCAATAACTCAATATCCATGTGACTATACTATTTGAGTTTCGCACGAATGAGAATATGGTTTTACCAAATTATATATGGTTTACCGAATTGCATAAGAAATTTTTTTGCTGCGCATACCCAGAGGTAAAAACCTAGGTCCGTCACTGGCCCCTCCTGTGGCTACAATGCGGCAGGTGAGCCGTTCGGCGCCTGCCCCTGCAGCGGCTACAGTAGCACAGCAGAGAGCCTTTTCGACGCCGCTTTCCCCTACCGTGCGTTTACACCAGGAAGCAGCAGATTACTTAACATGGGAGGGTGGCAGAGCCGCCATGCTGGTGGATGGCGTCGGGGATGCGGAGGTCTAGGGCCGCCTTGAGCGCCATGGACTTGATGTAGCCGAAGGTGTGGTACCAGAGATGGAGCTGGGCATCCAACATGGTCTGCTGGTCAGTGCTTGCGTGTTGCGGTTTGGCGGGCACCGCCATGGCGCAGAGCTAGTGTTGATCTGCTCCAATTGTTATAGCTTCTTGGGCGCAAATAAAACGCCTGCATATATAGAGAGAGAGTTATAGACTCGTCGTTTATAGTGATTGAGCGCTCTGATGATCTTTGAGATGTTGACACTGTGATTTGCCTACTTGTTGATTTCTACTCCAGTCGTCAAATGGAAATGCTCCAGCGTGCACGAATTTCACGCGAGAAGGGACGATGAGAACCCAAATCGAGATCAGCGATAGTACTCTCCTTTGTTCGAACGATTGCCATCACAACTCACAAGGTGGCCGAATCTTATCATCTCGCCGTGACATGTCATGTTAATGGAGAACTAATAATCGTGAAACAGAGACCTTTGCGCATTATATTAGGGACACACGTTAAACATGTGGGCGCACCATATAAGATGGAAAATGCATTAGGGACACGTCCAGTAGAGTGAAAGCGACAGCTGCACGAATGAGCACAGAGCAAGGAAACACGTATTGAATATTTGGCTGCGGTTCTGCCGTATTTGTACTGGACTTTGGCTGATATATATACTCCCTTTCTGAACATGGTACTTGGCGCCAAAGGGTCAAAGGGTAAAGAATATTTTACCATATGTCTTTAGGTGCATGGTGAAATAAATCAAGGGTAAGGAATATTTTACCGTATCATATAATTATTTTTTCTTATGATAGGAGCTGTTTGGATTCCTCGAATTGAATCTCATTCCAATAATCATATTCTAGCAATTAGATTTTTTCCAAGAAAGTTCTAGAAAGGACGAGCTAAAAAAAGTCACAACCTCTTAGTGGCGTTGTATGACGTTGATTACAAAGCAATATGATTGGCGACCGACGCTAGCAATTAGATTCACTAGTATATATAGATTCTTCATCACCGTTGGGTCGGCAGACCCCATCATCATCTTATTAGTGATAATCACCAATAGAGGTTATAATCGACGGTTTGCAACCAGCGGTGATAACTTTATTTCACCACCAGCTTGAGTAACCACATGACGGTGTGACAAATTGACATCACCGTTGGCTGCAGTATCCACCCGCCGGTGAAAATCAATTTAAGAAAAAAAACAGCAGTCAACGTCGGAGATGCCGGACTAGCGTCATGGGCCCATTGCCACGTGAGGGCCGCCTCCACACTAAGATGCCACCGCGGTGAAGTCGGGGGCGGCTAACACAGCTGCACCGAGATCTGGTGCAGTTGCACCGGAGGCTACCACTGCCACAATTGAGATCCAGAGGCCATGGGGTGCTCGTGCAGCAGGGTGCCGCTGCGCCCGCCTGCCTGCGACGGGCATCCTGCGCTCCGTCCACCCCCAGCCCCCGTGCCAAGGCACCACGAATGGATGCACCCACACTGGGGCGCCGCTCGCGCCAAATGGTTGTCGATGCCCGGAGGGAGGGACAACAAGGTTCTCTCACGGGAAGGGAGAAAGAGAGGAAGCAAAGAAGGGAGAGGTAGGCTGAGAGCCCTGGGAGGATGGGCGAATGGTTCCACGTCAGCCCGTCAGAGAAAGAATGCGATCAGAGAGGGAATCGAATGTCCGGGCTACTCCAGTTTTTCACCATCAGGTCTTTTCTTGAACTGGTGGTGAAAATAATTTTCATTATCGGTTCAAGACAAGAACTGGCTTTAATATGTTGTCACCAAATGTTCTAATAAAACCAGCGAGGATGCCGTTGACAAAAACACCATATCTATAGTATTAATTCTAGAAGAAATGATTACCTACTATTAGATTAAATAATCCAATTTTCTTGTTTGGTGGACATGGAATTTTTTTTCTTAAGACGGATCAACATATGGTGGAGGTTGAAACGTTGAGGACGACGAGCTGCTGGGGTAGAGGTAGCTAGCCTGAGGCAGATAGGTGATTGATGTCTGTGGCTATTAACACTGGATTTTGGTCGACTTTGGAAGATGACAGGTGGGCCCGCATGTGGGAAGAAGGACATTCGGCAAACAAAACGAGCGGTCGGCTAAATGCTTGTGCGGTCGGTTACTTCAGAAGGTGGTGACTCCATTCGGGAAAGCAGAAGATGGCAAGCAAAGCCGATCGAAAAGATGAAAGTTGTAATAATAAAGGACTCTGAGAGTTTAGGGCAAGGAATCGTAGTTTCCAAGTTTGTTTAAGAGTTCCTTTGTAAATCGTAGTCTTTTAGGACTCGTGTTTTGTCTAGGGTATAAATATTGACCCTCGACCATTGTAATAGGCGTTCACAACCAAATCAATACAACCGGCCCCGTGCCTACTTTTGAGTCCTTTTGTCGTGTCGTCGAGTTCTTCGAGAGGAGTCATCGATCCGTCGACCTCCGTAAGTTCCGACAACCTTGTTATCATGTTTAGTATCATGCGGTGGATTTAGACGTGATGCAAGTAGTCTTATTTGTTTTCAATGATCGTGCGGCGGATCTTTGCTTGACAATCAAGAAGTCTTTGCTTATGCTTTGTTTATGAGTAGATACCGTGTGCGGGCATTTGCTCAATATGCTTAGTGAAAGCAAGACAGCTTTATCGGCTCTATTAGATACGGCAAAATCTAAATAGATTCATTAAGTTATCCTGTGTTGCATGTTTTAAATATTTTATATATTTGTAACACACTTCCCCCAATCTAGATTGATATTGTTCGCCCTCTCCTATGGTTTTATTCGTGCTTCAATGATCATTACTTTCATATTACCTTTGCAAATAGATAACATGCTCATAATGGCTGAATTATTTTAATCTAGATTGTCACATGTTGTGGGTTCATGCATGTTAATTACGTTTAAGCTTTGACGAAAACTAGTATGAACCGAGCTTTACTCCCGGTGGGAACCCCTCTAGTCCGGTTCCCCACCCGGGAGCAAGCATCCGGGACTAAAGGGTTCCTTTAGTCCCGGTCGAGAACGGACTAAGGAGGACCTTTAGTCCCGGTGGGTAACACCAACCGGGACTAAAGGTGCCTCCCGACATGCCACGATGGCGGCACCTTTAGTCCCGGTTAGTATCTGAACCGACTAAAGGTTTTTTTTTTTTTTCTTTTCTTTTCATTTTTTGTTTTCTTTTCAAAATAGGTTTTCGAAGTCGTATTGTGCGCTGCTAATTATACATTTATACGCCGCATATAGTATGTTTCGGTCCAAGCACAATGAACGTATTAAATCACACAATTCAATCATAGAAATATATATATATATATATATATATATATGCATGCATGCATCATATATATATTTACATGCATGCATGCATATGT